CGCAGATAGACCTGCGGCCGTCCACAGGAAGTGCTACGGTCAGCACCTCCTCTTGAAAAGGGGTCGGCGGCACCCGGGCGAAGCCCTTACAATATATTGTAATTTAATAGATAGATCAAATAGATTGACTTGCAAAATGATATATATATATATAAGAAGAGTGGGGACGCTACTAGGTGGAGGCCATTACTATTACTAGGAACAAGAAGTTACTAGGAGCAAAGGGCATCGCTACTAACGAAGCAAGGACGCGAGATTGGCAAAACAAATCGACAAATGAAGCTACGATGGTAGTCGCCAGCAACACCAACATGTCGTGAAAGTGCCAGTCAAACTGATGTCAAAAAGAAGACAGGTCCAACGAAGAAGGGTGTTTGTAGCTTCTGATCGACCAAACATAGCTTCACTTTGCATCAGCAATTGCAAGCTTGTTATAAGAAGAGTGAGTTGCAAGGCTCAAGCTGCCAAACAATAAGAAAGATGCGTCCGCTATTCGTCCATATTTATCCTTGCTGACGTCTTTGCCATTGATCATCAATCCATCCTTTCGTTTCCTATTTGCCCACCGCTGCCTCGATCTGCAGCAAATAAAGACCCAAAATGATCCTCAGCATCAAACCATATCAAATTCAATCCAAACACAATCTGTTTCTTTGAGAACTCCCTTCTATGCTTTTTGGGCTTCAGCCTCCACATGAAGCCGAATTCTACCTCAGGCCAAGAAAAAAACGGAACAACGCATTGAGCACCTAGGACCTAGCCATCCTAAGAGCGAGCCTTCAACCTACGTAGCGATGGCCGGCATCCTAGCCTGAGAGCGCCTGCAACCTCTGCACCTTTGAAACAGCAAACCCTCGGGCCGTGGCCGAACGAGAACGCTGCGGGTTCCGCTGTGGAACGGGCAGCAAAAGGTCCGCTCAACAGGAGCGACTCCCGCGTCCTGAGAAATTCTTCAAACAACTTGAGCCGGAAAGGAATTGACGATTGGCGCTGCGCAACTCAACCAGCAACAACGAGCCAAACAAACTAGCAAAAGAAATGTCCCCCAAAACTCACAACGCTTCAAGGGTGAGCCAGCAAGTCAGACCAAGTCAGACCAAGTCAGACCAAGCCTCCAAAGAGGCAGCCGAAGCAGCAGACTTTTGTTTAAATTGTGTGCCTTCAGTCCATCCATTCTGGGAAACTCAAGGCTCTGTACACGTGCAGTTGAAACTCAAGTTCCTCGACTCCCCTCAAATGTGCCAGTTGCTGTCGAGTCGAGGCCAGAGCCCCTTTAACCTATTGGCAATGGCCTCCACCCTATTTACTTGCAATGGCCTCCAACCTAAGATCTGACTGCAACCGCAAGCAACCGGAGTGAGAAACCAGAATTGGAATCGATGATTCCTGGAATTCGCTGTACACTTCAATGCCAGGAAGATCTGTGCCTCTTCTCAATCCGAGATCTTGAAATCTTTGCTTCTCCCTTTTGTCTTGGTGTTGTATTGGATCTCTAAGTCTGAGAGGGCACATCTAAGGCGTCTATCTCACTCTTCAGATGCTCCTTGGACGGGTCCCGAAGGCAGGGCAGTGGGCAAAGGGCAACCATTCAACCATGCCAAGTGTCTTAAACCTAGAAGCGATGGCCTCCAACTTAGTAGCGATGGCCTCCAACCTACTAGCGATGGCCTCCAACCTACTAGCGTTGGCCTCCTACCGAATAGCGATGGCCTCTCTATTTGGTATGGCCTCCAACCCAATAGTGCACATCAACCATGCCAAGTGTCTTAAACAGTCCGAGCACGATTCCGGGTTTCAAGCCAACTGCTTCGTAGGCACTGGCAAGAGGCTCGGGTAGAAGCGGAACAGGCCAGTAAGCTACATTGTATCATGTATCCGTCCAAAAAGTCAAGGCCACATCAGTCAACTGTTCTTGACTTCAAACAGGCTCCACTTCAAAGATATTCAAGCGCACCACTCCAAGGTATCAAGCTTAGCATCAACAAAACACATGGTACATTATGTGGCACACTATGGTTTTTTACCCAGTTCAGGCTGCCTCCTCGGGTGTGCTTCGTCGCGTGGGATTCTCTCGGAGCATCTGAGTTAGAAGTAGTTCCTGTGAGAAACGGGTCGAACACCATCCGCGTACGAACGGATGCTACGAACGGAGCAAAGGGCATCGCGACCTTAGGAGCGATCGGACGCTACTACTAGGGGCTCCTGGCATCGCTACGAACGGAGCAAGAATGTGTTCATAATACCTGCAGTACTGCTCACAACAAACCGACTACCCGAACATGGTGGACTTTGGAATCTTCTTGCGTCGGATGTACCGCCTACGATGGCAAGTGGAAGGAGCGCACAAACAAACTCAACGTTTTTCCCCTAATAGCTTATTGTGACTACTAGTAAGGCACTTGTTACTAGAAGCGATGCACTTGTTCTTAATAGCTTCTTGTTACTACGTATGCACAGACTTAGAATGAGTTTTTTCCTAAGGGGAGGCCATCACTTCTAGGTTGTTAGTCTTGGTTGCTCTGGTCAGATTTTTTGTTGTCCTGGGTCCTGATATTCAGGGATGCGCCATGCAGGTTCAATCGTGTGACAGACATGCCACATGGCTCACTTCTTTCAGGGGACGCCGGTCTCTAAGGCATCTCAAGCACAAGACTGGAAACTGCTAGCGTTGTTGATCAAACTATCAGTTCTTCATGTTTTTTGCTCTTCATCAAACTATACCAAACAGATCCAAACAGATCCCCGAGTTTCTTTATGATGTGGTCGATGGTCTGCCCACTAAGATGCGGAGCCACAACAAATTTGATTGCTCGCTGCACAGCGATACGATAGGCGTGTAAGAAACAGAGACTTGTCTGCGTTGTGCCAGCAGCTAAATAGCGAGGGTCAGGATTCTGGATAGTAGAACTCAAGTTGTTACTTTTGGCTACTAGAAGACCTTAGGGGTGCAACCTCTGGCAAATGTTGTTTGGAACAACGCACTTTCTTTGTTATTCCAGACATGAAACCTTTGCTTTCTTGCAAATGTGCTAAGACGTGCAAAGCCCTTGCTGAAAAGGACCGATCACGCCGATTCATCAAAGGAAGTTTAGTGTGCAAAACTTCCGTGTTACGGACATTCAACAGCTGTTCAACCACCACTCATCATACACCACTCATCATACACCACTCATCACACACCACTCATCACACACCACTCATCATACACTACTCATCATACACCACTCATCACACACCACTCATCATACACCACTCATCACACACCACTGATCACACACCACTCATCATACACCACTCATCATACCACTCATACACCAGCTCTGGTTTCAACAGCTCAAGCTCCAGGCAACTCCAGCTCCAGGTGCAGATTGCGTGGCAGGTGCAGCACTTTGTGAACCTCCATGTGCAGATTTCGTGGCAGGCACAGGACTTTGCGAACCTCCATGTGCAGATTTCGTGGCAGGTGCAGCACTTTGTGAACCTCCATGTGCAGATTTCGTGGCAGGCACAGCACTTTGTGCACCTCCATGTGCAGATTTCGTGGCAGGCGTAAGACAAAATGCGTTGTGGAGAGATAGCGAACGCACGAAATGCTGTATTTTTCAATGGAACCGATGGCTCCGAAGCTGGCAAGTCAAGGTTTGCGGAACGACGGGTGCGAGACGGTCTCGGGTCATGCTCGGAATCGTCCGTCCATTGGGATTAGAGTTTTCACTTGTTTCTTGAAGTGCAGATTTCGTGGCAGGTGCAGCACTTTGTGAACCTCCATGTGCAGATTTCGTGGCAGGTGCAGCACTTTGTGTACCTCCATGTGCAGATTTCCTGGCAGGCACAGCACTTTGGGAACCTCCATGCGCAGATTTCGTGGCAGGTGCAGCACTTTGTGAACCTCCATGTGCAGATTTCGTGGCAGGTGCAGCACTTTGTGAACCTCCATGTGCAGATTTCGTGGCAAGCACAGCACTTTGTGCACCTCCATGTGCAGATTTCGTGGCACGCGCAAGACAAAATGCGTTGTGGAGAGATAGCGAACGCACGAAATGCTGTATTTTTCAATGGAACCGATGGCTCCGAAGCTGGCAAGTCAAGGTTTGCGGAACGACGGGTGCGAGAGGGTCTCGGGTCATGCTCGGATCATGCTCGGAATCGTCCGTCCATTGGGATTAGAGTTTTCACTTGTTTCTTGAAGTGGAGATTTCGTGGCAGGTGCAGCACTTTGTGAACCTCCATGCGCAGATTTCGTGGCAGGTGCAGCACTTTGTGTACCTCCATGTGCAGATTTCCTGGCAAGCACAGCGCTTTGGGAACCTCCATGTGCAGATTTCGTGGCAGGCGCAGCACTTTGTGAACCTCCATGTGCAGATTTCGTGGCAGGCACAGCACTTTGCGCACCTCCATGTGCAGATTTCGTAGCAGGCGCAAGACAAAATGCGTTGTGGAGAGATAGCGAACGCACGAAATGCTGTATTTTTCAATGGAACCGATGGCTCCGAAGCTGGCAAGTCAAGGTTTGCGGAACGACGGGTGCGAGAGGGTCTCGGGTCATGCTCGGAATCGTCCGTCCATTGGGATTAGAGTTTTCACTTGTTTCTTGAAGTGCAGATTTCGTGGCAGGTGCAGCACTTTGTGAACCTCCATGTGCAGAGTTCGTGGCAGGCACAGCACTTTGTGAACCTCGATGTGCAGATTTCGTGGCAGGCACAGCATCTGCGGAGCTGGAAGCTGAGAACTGGCGACTTTGTAGTACAACTTTAGTACGCGGAGCAATCTGGGGAGCTGGAAGCTGAGAACTGGCGACTTTGTA